TAATTTTATTTATGCCGGTAACAGTGTAATCATTATCATTTATAAATCGTCATATTTAACTGTTTATCTGCATTTTCAAACAGTTTTTTGAAACAATCAATCTTAACGGGCTACGTTTTATCAGATTGACTCGTTCCCGAAAAAAAGGTAAAGGGTCCTTGTTTATTATGAGTCACCCCTAACTAAAGGGCAAGCCATTTATGACTTAGAGAACCCTTTTTGGTTGCACAACCTGTTACTCCCAACTCCTACTACTGTGCCAGGCGCCAAAGGCGAAATAGAAATCGGTAACCATTTTAACTACCCTCGCGTTTCACGAAGCGGCAATTTCGGAGAGAGACCCCACGAGAAACATTTCAGCCTTCAATAAACGCCTCCCCGCTGGGGCTCGAACCTTCGACCCTCCCGAATCCCGAAGGCGGACGCCTTAACCACTATAACACTAAGAATTTTTAAACTTGAAAGATAACTATTTTAAGATACTTCACACTAAGGTTTTTTTTGAAATTACGGGATTGGAAATAATTGGTTCCCAAAAATAATTGTTCCATTTGATAATGCAGGGCGAGATACATTACCTTTGCACAGAAGTTTCAGATTCGTTCACATACTCCCATAGTTTTTTAGAATATTTTTTGTGCACACAAACAAATCAAAAACATTTTTGGAAAGCGATGCAAACGAATTTCGCTAAAATCGGTTTAAAATAGCAACACAAACTGATTTTCAAATTTATCTGAGAATAGTTTTCAATTATCTTTTGTGCATTTTTTCTGCTTAAAGTACCCCTGCTGAATTTTGTAGGACATTGAACTTTTAATGTTTTAGGCTTTACACAAACTCAGAGGAGTTGCTTAAAAACGTCGTGTTTATAAATATCTGGATAAGCAATTACCCGTGCTTACGAAATATTAGTCAACGACTTATTAAGTTGGACGCTTTATAAAAAAATATGTAACGTCTCAATCAGTTAGAGTTCTTCATCTTTTTCGGGTCTCATTCCTTCATCTGTCGAGACGTTTTTTATTTTTCTTATTGTCTTGATATTGACATTGCATGTCTATAACTTTAAAATGTTCTTCCCCCCAAAAAAGCAAATAAAGAATTATAGAACTGAATCTGATTACAGCTAATATTTAAACCTTCTGGAGGGCTGTTCGACACGCCATTCAAGGCTTGGATTAAAACTCGAAAATAACAAAGTAAAACACTGATTTCAAATAAAACGAATTGCCAACTGCACAAAAATAAACATCGAATGTCCGTTTTTAAAGGCCACTACTATCAACTTATTTAAATTTAAAACTTAAGACTGGTAAAATGAATTTCGTTAATCATTTAAATTAAAGTAAATAACAGTTTGTTAAAATTAGTTACAAAATTTAAAAATTCCATTCACAAAAGGTATAATAGCACTACATTTACTTTCGACATTTTAATTTTTAAATGTGTTTGAGGCAACACACTAAATCCGTAAATTCCCCCGGTAATATGTATAACACGCCTTGAGAAAAATTTTCGCCTGTTCGCCCACCAAAAGTGGCAGTATAAAGTTAAAATTTTTTTTGACATCGGGTTTTACACGAAAAATGAAAGAAAAATGAAAAAAAGGGGAAAAAAGATATTTTTCCTTTTTTTTATCAAAGAATTTTTGCAGCGTCTAAAAGGTTTTTTTCAACATTGTAGTGAGTTAAATGTTCCCTTTTTTTAAAACCCAAATTTTTTATATAAATTTTATTGGATCATGTTGAAACTATTTTCCTGTCTAAAAATTAGCAATCATTCTAACCTAATGTGAAATGACATATATTTGGATCCATTTGGGACGTTTTGCCCGTGAGCTAAAGTTATCTCACGTAATTTTTTTTTTTGCTAATAAACACGATAACCCGGGCCGTTTTTCGACCCCACAAAAACAGTAGCGCGGACGTGTACATATTTTACGGAACATCATTGCATTACATAAACCAAACTTGAAATGCGCAAAATTTAGGGTAAAACAAAGGCGGTCAAATGAAAAGTTTAAACGTTTTTTCACTTTTAAACAGTCTTTTAAATGTTGGTACTTGATAGATTGAATATATCATTCGTGCACGTTCATTACTGAAATTTTATTGACTCGTATATTTAAAAAACAATATTATCGCTGCCAGATTGCTCTCTATTTATAATATGAGACGCGCCGGGATACGCCATTTAAAACCACGCGACGTGTCTCTAACACGGGTGGGGGAGGGTGAAAGACTTTTTTTTCTAGCGCCCCTATGTAAGCAATTGATATTCATTTCTGAATATTCCAAAAAATAATTAAGTGACATTTGTAATCATTTATCCCTTCAGGGACGCGAACCAATGATTTTTCCTTCTTCCGATTAATGCGTCACTGTATACAAAAACGGGTTATTCGAGAGCAAATTTATTTGGTAAAAATGAAAACAGCTGACCATGCATAAACATCACTAGGAATCGGAAATCCGTTTCAAGGCCAAAATACCTGAAAAAAAAGGAATAGCTGTACTTTTTACATTGTTGTATTAGATTAAATAGCGCACTAAATACATACGTTAGATCTTTTCATAGAATATCAAATCATATACAATATACATGTAAAACAATTTAAACAAAAAAGAATCGTTTGGGATAGACGTGCGTTATTCAGTTTAATTGTTTAATCGTGATGCAGGCAATACAAACACAATATATCATATGTCTATCAGATCTTACCCTTACACCTATCGGAAACCAACACAGGAAATCAGTTTTGTTGCAACGAGTATAAGATTTCTTGCAACTTTCAAGTCACGCCTTCTTGATAGTTGTGTCTTCTTCATAGCTGATGTTGAATCGTCGAAGTTCTGTGAATATTGAGATTTGTCTACAGCAACAAGAATGAAATGTACAAAAATTCAGGCCGACAAAGATTGACACAGAATAAATCCACCCTGGGGGTTTATCTCGTGTTAAAGGCAATGCAATACAAACTCCTGTTCTGGAGTAAAAATTTGTTTTGGAAGTGACTTTGTGTAAAGAATTGGAATGACCGATAGGATGATGGAAATGAACCAGCACAATGCACAAGAGACATAGGCCTTCGATAGGTGTAAACCTCACTGTGCCAAACGGAAACTTGATCACTAATAGTCTATCTAATGTTTTATCAAGCAAAGAAAGAGGACACTGGCTTCAGATGAAATTTGTAGACAAAACTCCGGCAGTAATACAACCAATTACTGTTTCTCCATTTGATCGTCCACAAAGATATATCTGCAATAAAATTGAAAAAAGGAAATCTGTTTAATGCAACATGGCAACGGTAGTTTTGTTATATTAACATCAATTAGGACTAAACATATGTTGTTATAAGAGAAAATTAAATTTGATTTTGATTTAAATATAATCAGTTAAAATGTTATTTCTGTTTCTGAATAGTAAACAGTCCCAGTAAGTCAAGGATCTTTTACCGGCTGTCGGTACAAACCAGAATATTAGGTCGAGGAAACTGTTTACGGGCGAAAATAAGGCTCTGTCGAGTATCCGACAAACAGTTACCAGAGGGCTAAATATTTCCAGTTTTACAATGACAAACAGTGTTTGATTCTTTTTTCTTGCACATTACAAATTTATGATATTTCAAAAAAAAAAAAACTGAAATTTTCAATTAGCACTTTTTTCTTGTAGTAGCGTAGAATTTAATCAACCCATTCAAATTACGGCACTAAAGTCATTCAATGAAAAGAAAGCGTTAAAAAGTGTGTAAAGGAATAATAGTGTTTATTCAAATCTAAATGGGGTTGTAAACATTTTTTTCTAGCACCGGGTGTAAACTTTGATAATCATTGTCTAAATGCAAGAAGATAAATCATCTTTGGTTTACATAAAAATGAAAAACCAGTTTTTTAAATCGTTACCCTTTTTGTAAAGTAAATTCATCAAATTATCAATACCTGGTTTCTATAAGGGTGAATCAAAAGCCACTGGCTATCCATGATGAGGTAAACACCCATCAGAAAATCTGGCAACTGCAAGGGTTAGTTATTACAAATATTCCCAATAAACCTATTTTAAGCCTTTTACGATCCGTACAACGAGACGGAGAAATTGACGATAGGGTTTCCCAAAATTTAAGCGAACCCAAAAAATCCAAAGGGCCTTTCCTTTAAATACAAGTTTTTTTCATTCAGGTCCTCACATGAAGAAAACTCATTCTTCAAGGTTTTTCAGTATTTTTGGAAATAAAAAGGGCGGATCAGCAGAAATTTAAAAGAAAGGTGTTATGAAGCTCACGGAAATGTGTAAGCCGTTAAAAAAAAAAATTTTCCCCCGAATGTTATCAATTTTTTTGCCTTCAAAAAATTTAAACTTAATTTAAAAAAGGCGGGGGTTTTTGAAGGCAAAACTTTAAAATTTTCCCCAATTTTTTTGTAAGAAAAAGTTTGATACTTGTCCAACTCCAAAACCCCAAAAATGTAAGTGAACTTTTTTTTTTCAGGGGTTTTTGCCCGAAATTTTTAAACTTTTTTAAAATTTCAAACCTTTAAAAAACCCTCGATGAATCATTGTTAGTTCTTTTATTTCTGTCCAAAATTTAAATAGGTTTAGATAAGCGAAGCTTGGCTAAAATACCAAGTCAGGTAATTGCTCCGATTCTATTGTGCTAAGATCTAACGATAACAAGTTTTTCAAGTCAAAAGAAAGCCCTTGTTATGAATATAAATGAAATGTTACATTGATGAAAAATTAAGGTCGAAACATGAAAAAAGAAAACTTAAATTTTGGGGTTCAGGTATTTCTTTAAAAATTTTTGGCGATTGTTACTTAGATCAAGGAAAACTTCTAGCCTGTACAGTCACTGACCGAAATATCAGAATTATTATTTTCGGCCTGAATTTACAATCGATTACATTCACCCGTACAGTTACATTTCTCTGGACATACAAGGAATCACCCCAAAGTCGTTCATTCATCACCAATTTTCTGCAATGAATGACATCATCACATACTTGTTCAAATGTATACATTGCTTACTAGACGAACATCTGTACTTTCCAACACATGGTGGTACGATTGTAGCCTCTGAAACGGAAATATCAAGAAAATATATCCTTACACATGAAGTTTTAAAACAAATCGTCCATCGAAGATATATTATCCCGGTTGACATGGTTATATCCTAGTTTTTCTTGGTTTTCCTTAGTTGTTAAACTTATGAAATTCTTTTCAACATCCAACATTCAAGCATAAAGAAAATTACTTATGCAAATGTAAAGTAACTTTATTTGGGTGAAATTTCTATTGCCGAAGTATAAAAACATATTCAAACAGGGCGAAAAACAACTAATAAATTTGATTAAAAAAATGACTAAAAAAATCGATGTATTATGTTAACGAAGTTAAGACAACGAAACGTCTCGACAAAATATAATATGGAGAAGAAAGATAAATTTGTTGTCAAGTCATGAATGTACATTTAGTGTTATATTTAAAATGAACGATAGAGAAAAAAACTAAAACGGTCTCATATAATTTACGAGTCAGGCTGCCAATAAAGTTACCTGTGCATATTTCTGGAAATCGTCTAAAAAACCAATCGAAAAATAGAGAACTCCATTTACTTATATGTATATTCCTTTACAAAGCTGTATCTGTTATCTTATAGAGTGAAGACTGAAATCTTTTATCAACTCCGATATATTGAAAACGATGGCTCTGAAATATTGGACAATACTAGGGAAGCTAGCGACAACTGATGATTCAATACTGTTTTCTAGTACAATAAGCGCTCTTTTTTCTAGCTCGGAAAAATTTAGTTGTTTAAGAAAGTCTCTTGCCATTGTTTTAAACTTGCATCCAGTTTCCTCTATTCCGTGTTCTCTGGTAACACGTTCTACCTTTATTTCCAATAACCTGTACTCAATGTCAAACTTCATTTTTCTATGAAGAATATTGAAATTAAACAATTTAACGATATTCTTCTCACTGTTTGTAAAAAATTGTTCCGCCAAATGCATTGCTGCTTCCCTGCTCTCAGAGCCTTCATCTTCCACGAATAAGATAACTTCTCTATCCGAGTCTCCACAAGCTGAAATAAGAAATCAAATCAAAACACTAAATGCCCCGAATTTGTTCGGGTCATAAAAAAGCAATTTTGTAATCTTGACTAAACAGTTATTTTCCCTCAGCTATTTACCCTGTAAATGTTTTATCAATAATGTTTATATTTGACGACAACATCATAACGAAACCCCTAAAACCCCTGTCACACCACGGCGTCCAAAGAAAATTCAGAACGTCGAGGTGAGCGTAGTAAGATCGCAAACATCGTCGTAGCATCGCCACAGCATCGTAGTGGCGTCGCATAGAAAACGCCGACCGACGGCGCGCATTTTGAAACATGCTTAAAACAAACGCCGTCACCTCGGCGTTTTAAAAATGAGCGCAGTGGGATCGCCAGTAAGGGCGCCGTAACAACTCAGTAGCATCTCCTACAAACGCAACAGGAGCGCCGGGAAAGCGCAAAAGGAACGCCGAATGAACGCCCCGTGGTTGTACACGGGCGCTTTGTACGGAGGTTGTGCGGCGTCTTTACCGCGCTAATAATGCGTGTGCAATGGCGCTTTTACGAAAGCTTTACGATTTCAGCGCAGTGTGAGCGCCGCGAGAGCGCCGTATGAGCACCGTAAATGCGCAGTGAGAGCGCAAAGAACGTCGTAGAAGCGCAGTCCGAACGTAGACATTCGCCAAATAAAACGCCGTGGAAGCTCCGTTGCATCGTCATGATCACCGTGGGGACTCCGTGAAGTCTTTATGTCATCAAAAATATCACATATTTTATTGCAATCTCGCGGCGTAACAACGTCGTACAAACGCAGTAAAAGCGCAGTCTAGTGTGACAGGGCCTTTAGTAAGTTAATATAAACCTGAATTAAACAATTTACTGAATATGTTCGATACTGTGTACGACCATATTGAGTAACAACGAATCAGATTTATTGTTTGTACACTAAGTATTATTTAATATATAAGCCTCAACTTGTCGATTAATGCACAATGTTTAAATATATTTTAGTATAAAATCACAAGCCTTCAATATCTTATTTAACTCCAATATCAATTCGTAGACAGCCTGTTTGCGTAGGAAATTCGAGTCAACATATGATTTAATGTAACAGAAATAAAAGCAAAAAAAGAAAACCTTAAGAATGTCACATTTACGGTGGCATAGAGGTGACATTTGCAGTTTTATTTTATCTCGTGGCCACGACTTATTATCTTGAGGCCTCATGATATTATCTCGTTGCCACGGCTTATTATCTCGTGGCCACGCCTTATTATCTTGCGGCCTCAAGATATTATCTCGTATGATTATGCCACCGTAAACATTTGATATGCATACTGGTTACAACAATGCTTATTGAAGATCACATACTCTATTTACTTTCAGAAGGAATTTGAAATTTACATAAATTCGCGAAAACTCAGGTCAGCTGAGACGAACAGGTCGCACAATTCATTACACACTACATTTGTTAGCACTTCAGACTTATTTTTGCTGGCCAATACGATCCTTACTGCAAGCTTTGGATTTTCTATTTCTTGTTTCAAGAGACCCCGGTGTTTTGACGCGTAGTTCCTCCACACACCATGTCGTCAACATTGAATAAGATACATGCACATGATGTGTGTTGTTGTGTGTAGCTAACTCTCGACTAATTTATCTACTTAGTTGTTGCCTTTTGCATATACATTACTTACACGTAAATATAATTGAAACAAGCAAATCGAGGTTCATTTGTTTCAATCATTTCATATTGTAGACTGAAAATTTAGGGATTTTTATTCATTTTTTCTGCATAATATAATTAATCCTTTATCAATTAGATCTATTCATTATCTGAGAAGGGTAGGCAAAATATGCGCCTGCTAATTCATGCAGACAGACTATGCAGAATTTGATGTTAGAGAAGATAATATTTTAGTATTAATGTAGCCATGATAGAATATTTGCATGGGTTGTGGACTTATTGGTTGTAAACATTTTGATATTAAGTGGTTGTCGATTTATTGGTCCTTTGACCCCCATATTATTCTGGTCGGTTAACTGCCCAAGACAAATACACCTGTCAAGTTTTAGGGTGAAATTTCCACATGTTGTTGAATTATAGATCGGAAACCTTTTTTATAGACAAGGTGAATGTGACATAAGCCTTTTACCCCTTGTAAAAATAATAAAATTCTTCTGACTGTCAAGACCAATGCACCAAAGACATTTTTGGTAAAGGGTCCATTGTTTGTAGAGTTATTATTATTCTTCAAAAACTGTTTCAAAAATTTTAATTTTCTGTACCCACACAAAGAATTCGTCCTAGCTCCCCATAAATAGTCGGATCTACAGTTTGTTGTTGGACTTATAACATTTGCTGTTACATGTATACGCTCAAAATCTGGAGCTTTATGGAGGCATTAAATGTCAGAGTCAAAATCTAAGATTGGTAATACCACAGCATCAAACAATTTGATCCATTCAGACATATCCATTGGTACTTTATAAAACGGGGCATTTTATAAATATAGCGCTTTGTCTGACTGCTTTGATTATGTTTGTATTTCTCACTAAATTTTGCGGAAGCCATCCAAAGTCTTAAGGATCTGACTGAGAAGTACTAATTGAACCTGGACGTTTTCCCTTATTATTTACAGGAAAATGTAGTGTTTTAAAGTACTTGTACAGTATTATGAAATATCATAAGTTCTGTTTTAAATAAACTGGTGTTATTAAAGGAGTCCAATGATATATTTTAAAGCAGATCATTTGTATGCAATATTTAGGATTTTTTTATTCATGGATAAAGGTCCATAATGCCTCAAAAATGCTTTTATTTTACAAAGGTTTCTTATTTTTGGTAACCGGTTATATTCTAGAAAGGTTCGGATTTGCCGATTTTGTGATCCATCTTTTTCCTCTGATGCAACGGGTACATATACTTATAGTGATTTAGTATTTTGTATGGAACTCATACTATTACTTTGTTTACATTTTGATTCTTTTACGAATAAACATTTCATCACATACTTTAGGCAACATGTTGATAACATCAATGTTCATGTCAATCCCTTTAAACAACAACTACTTCTGAATACTTTCTTAATAAGAAATAAATATACAAATGCAAAGAACTTATGTGCAATACTAGTTGCGATCATAAGATCATGTATAAGGTTTTGATACTGCTTGAATGAATGACCTATTGAACAGGGAAGATGTAGGAATATCGAATGAAACAAACGATGATGTACCACATGCAATATTAGACAAGTTAAAATCGAGTGTCCTTATATATGTATATTTCTAATAATGACATAAGGAAACTATGCTTACATATAAATTATTTGTATAGTTTATGACATAAGGAAAATATGTTTAAATATATAAGATATATGAACATATATTAAATGTTTCAACATAAATTCCATAGTTTATATGGCAAAATTTGTATTGTCAATAATGCAATAAAAATTGATTGTAGGTATTTCTGTTTAATTAAAACAAGTTTCAGAAATATGTATTATATTTAAATTTTAGCACACTCTGTGCAACGTTTACTGTACCATAATATTACTTTGCGATTAAAATGTATGTATATATGTGCCAAATAAATTGGTTGCCTTTTTTTAGTTTTATATCCATATGTGTTGAATACATTGTACATAAACATTTTTTACTAACACTTATCCCTAAATATAGTGTTGGAATATAGCAAAAACGTTGATGAAAAATCTCTGAAATGTAAAAAAAATATAATTTGCTAGTTTAACTTGAATCCTTTTTACATCATTAATTTTGTTTTCAAAATACAAAGCCTATACGAAGCAGGAGAAGAAAAAAATTCCATGTAATGAGAACGATATTACACTAATGTAGTAACAATTTTATATGACGTAATTTGCGTTGTATACAAAAAAGCGTAAGAAAGCGTAACATTATAGGTGCGTCCACAAAAATGACACAGTGTAACTGTAAACCATTATAATTTTGGCTACGTGATAAATACAATATCAAATTTAATATCATGTATGCATTCATTCATCATATTAAATACTGTGTTTAAAAAATATGCTTCCTTTCTGAACTAACACTTATTCAAGATCCTCTATTTAAAGATACAAACTTAAACGAAAAGAAATCTAAACGAAATTATTCATATCATTGCCTTACATTAAATCAATGTTTTGTTTGTAGATATGCCAAAGACCTGTAATCTGTAGGTATGACAATTGGCTTAACTGTAGGTACACAATGGGCTAATCTGTAGGTGTGACAATGGATTAATAAGGTATATCATTTGATTATCTGTAGATCTAACAATGGGATAATTTGTATGTATGCCAATGGGCTAATCTGAAGTTTTGTCAATGAGATTGTATATATAAATGACAATGGGTTAATATGAAGGTTTGAAAACTCGCTATTCTGTATGTATAACGATGGATTATTCTGCATGTATGACAATGAGATAAGATAATCTGCATGTATGACAATGGGCTAATCTGCATGTACCACAATGGGCTATTCTGTAGATGTTTCTGTAATATTCAACAAAATAATCTTTAGGGTGAGTCCGGAAAGTCATTATAAGCGACATTGTTACTGATAAATTGTACAAGTAATCACTAAATAATTGCCCGTTAATTAACAAAATACAATTCACTACTGGAATACCGTTAAATGACATAACTTAATAAAGCAAAAGCAAAACAAAAGAATGAGTTTAACAAATTATAGATTTTAATAACTTACTACAGTCTTGTTCATCTTCCCCTCCAGGACATTCATTATGTCCGTCACAAAGAAATCGTTGTTCAATACAATAACTTCCAGGACATTTGACTGTATTTGCTGGACAAGTGAAATTTTCTGAAAATCAAATTGTTTTCAATGACTCGGGCAATATTGAGCAATTCATCGTGAATTATTATCATTTTCTAAAGTGGTGCATGATTGAACAGTATTTGTGATGACATTCTGTTTTTCAAATCGTCTTTAACAGATGAAATAGCATAGATTTATTTCTAGTAAGCTTTGACATCTATAACGTTAAACTGATCAATATGTGTTTTACAATAGAGATTACATTGTATACAACTAGTTGAAATTAGTGTGATTAACCTATACACTATCTGTGTAATTTGTTTCATGTCATTTTTTCAGTCATTATATTTTAAACAACGTTTTAATGCAACAAGCCTTCAGATGGTAGAATAAAAAGGTTAAATACACTATATTGAGATTAAACGCTTAATACGGTATCAGCTATATTAAAGTGACCATCGTTACTGACCACTTCAAGAAAGAAAGTTGACCAAAATATTCAATTAAAACTGTTTGTCGTAATAACGGGACAAGCTTAAACCAAAGCATTTTTTTTTATCTTGTTTCCGAATATGTTTAATACGATCCTTGGAGTGGATACCTTTGTCCTACTGCTAAGTAGTACTATTAAAAAAAACAGATAAAGGATTCCATTGTATGCTTTTCTGAAAAATATTTAAAAAAATATCAAAATATGCATGCTTTTTAAGTGACATTTAGATTTCCTTCAACTCTCCTTTATTTATTTGAGCAACGATTTCTTAATATAAGTAGACTTCTATAACTTTTGGTGACATGTTTCTTTTAACTTTTTTTTCTAGTAAAACAATAACCATACTGACGGACTAAATCACATAATAATATTATATGAAAATGTACTGGCTGTCAAAGTATTCATTTGCTCACTATTCTCCCTACTTTTCTTATTGTGAAACTTTCATCTATTTCATTAAAGTTCAATATTCACAGGTAAGTTATACAGCCGCACAAAACTGGCGAACTCCAAACCTCTGCACCATTTAGAAGGACTTAAATGACGAAAACATGTTCCAATCAACGCAGTTGAAAAAAGAAGAACGATTATACAAACCAAAAGTTTTCATGTGAAAATTTCTAAGCGGTTCGTGAGGTCTCGCTTTGTAGAAAATCGTTTTAATTATAACAACGGTACATAATAATAAAAGAAGTATTTCCTTATCCATTTATCCACACAAATTGTTCTAATGAGTAAAGCGAAGTTACATGCGTCCTTTTTTATTTTTGTTAAATTTGTTAACGGGTCTGATGCCTTTTATTCCTTATCAGCAACATGTAAATAGAGGCTGTAAAAGATTTGGAAGATAGAACTACGTCCGCACAGAACTATCCCAATCATCTCAAAAGAAAAATAAAGAACATTTTAAAACAATTCTTCAAAACGAACTTGAAGATCGTTCAGCACGACATTATTGTTGTGTATTTATTTTATGTGGTATTTTTAGTTTTTGCTTTTTGGCATTTTTCAACTTGGGTGGTTCCAGTATTTCTTCTTGAATACTGTATAATCACCCTTAGGATATGTTGCCTGCTTTTTAAATGTGTCTTTTTATCTGTGATATGCCGGCTTCAAAACATTAGACCCCCTTTCAAAATTACATTTGATTTAGTTCTGCGCATTGTTTTCTCGTTTTAGACACACGCATTCTTTTACTTTGGAACCATACACTGCTTTTCATGGAATGACACTACTGTGTCACATTGAAGGTTTTATGATAACTGCCGTGTAATTACATCTGTGGATGTTTCTAAACTCAAAATTTCATCTTTTTCGTGTTTAAATGTTGAATTCTGGTTAAGCCGGTGCTAGGGATCGTGCACGATAATTTGCACTTTCCAGTACCGTCTATGAACAGAACAGGCTCGACCAAACCAATCCTGTAACATTTTTAATTGTGCCGTATGGGTCTTTTTGAGGATTCTGTTTTTCTCTATTTTTTACGTTTCGAAATCATTTAAAGAAAATAGACTGATACACGTGAAAACAAGGATGCTTTTCTACAATGCATTGCAATAACTGTTACATGTCAAGTCACGCAAAATAAATAGCTGTAAAAAGAAATACTTTTCATGTCAATTCACACAAAATAAGCTTATAATTTAGATAATCCTATTAATTACCACAATGTTGTAAATGATCTCCAGATCTGCATCCAGTCATGTAACCGCTGGCATCTACGGCATATATACACATCATCGACTTTGGTATGGCTTTGTCGTCTCTTTTACAATGAAAGAACTCACCAAATTCGGTTGCATTGTACTCTTAAAAAATAAAAAATCAGACTTTTCTAAACAATTAATAAACATATTTAACAACTTAATTTAAAGAAATCGTATCAATAACAAATAATTGTGATTGTTTAAAGAATTGTTTACGCATATAAAGGAAAACTTCAAAAGTTTGTATGTTAATACTGAATGAAAAGTGATATGACTTAATGTATTCCGGTAATTTTTGACACAAATTATTTTGAAGGTTTGTAATAATGTTTATGTTTGAATTTTATACTGGATCGAAGTATATTAATCTGTAATATGTCTTTAAATGACATATGACTATAAGTTTTTAAATAACGCTGATATTATAAGGTTCCATACCATACACACAAATACTTGGATAAGAAACCAAGGGTATTTTCGTGTGGGTCCTTTCAAAGTTAAACCTCCCGAAATCTGTGATTTCACTTCCATTGCAATAATAATGCGTAGTATAATAATATCTGGAACTTTAGAATGCATTCAATGTATCAGTCTTGGTAAAACAACATTCTTTTTTCCATTCAATATTCATTGCACAGTATATGAATAATATTGTTTATTTACTTTGAGGTACTTTGCTTATTTATACTATTATCGTTTTGTTGTGCATTTTCCGGTCACAGAATATTATATGTTGATAAAAAGCAAAATACTACTTTAACAATTCAGTATAATAATATATCACAATAAGAACTTAAAATGAATCATCAAACTTAATGTTAGTCAAAAACTAGCAGAATTTCTATTGTACTTGTGAATATGATATACAATAAAGATAGAGTTTGATCACTTTGGTATTATGAAAATAAATAAATGTCTTTTGTAAACACAGAGACGTCACTAAAGGTTAACATAGAATGAATACTGTCATTTAAAATTGCAGTGTTGTTTAAATAAGGGTGCGTTTCATAAAGAATCGTAAGTCTAAAACATAAGACTAAAGTTGGGACTAGAATAAGAATGCACTTAGGAGTGTTTTACTTTTGTACTTAGGATTAGTCCTAACATTTTACTTAAGAAAAAATCTTCCTAATGGAGATAGCCTTATCCTCGCCATGTGAAATAATGAAAAATGACAGAAGAAATAATGAAAACTGACAGATGATAAAGCAGACACTGGTAAAAATATAAAAAATGATGTATAATTGACATTTATACATTAATATTTCTTATGTATTAACTTACTTCATTCCATTTATGTTATAATTGTAAGGGCACTAATAATCTTTGACTTTCTTTCAAAATTATTCCATAATTGCATAAGGCGGACATGTTTCTTGAAAAAAATATTCCATATTTTACTCAAACAAGAAAAGTATCCTCTTAATATTTAGGAAAAATATTAATTCTGGGTGAATTATTGTAATGTAATGTACCTTGCAGGAATATAATAACAAATACCAATACTGTAGGCAGGAGTGATTTATTACAAAGCATTTAACGACCATACACTATTTCACTGTAACGTAAGAAATATCTAGTTCAATAAAAAGGCTAATATATGAAACATGTTGAACATTATTAACATTATTGAAGTGTTTAAGTTATCTTAAAAGTATCTATTGAAGTTGTTTTTGTTGTTGTTACATGTCAAAATACATTTAATAATGTATTGAATACTTGCTGGTATTTACATTAGCTTTATCTACACCTATGCCATCCACTGTTTACTATATATCTATATCAGGCAATAACACAAGAGCTCCAAAGTGTTTTCAGCACTTGTTGTTTTGTATTTATAACTTAAGACAAAATTTAGGAGTGCCCTTAGCCACCTAAAGGAATAGTCCTAAGTTTAGTAGAATTGTACTTTGGACTTTTCTTGAAACGCAGTTTTATCACAGTTTTGCACTAACGACTAAAATCGGTCCAAAGATTCTTTATGAAAAGCACCCCAGATGAACTGAAAGAGTAACAGGGAATGCTAAGCCCAAAATGAAGTGTAGGCGTTTGCTAATTTTCTTAATCAAATGAAACATATTAAATATGAAGTTTCTAGATTTCAATAAATATATACAATTAATAGTTAAAACATGAGGTTTATGTATCTGTAACTTTGTAAACATAATATTTTCAATATCAAAGAGGTACATTTGTCAAACTTAGAAAATAAAAAAGTAATCTTTTTTACCAAAAATGTAAATTCTATAAACTGAAAACACATTTATAATATGTGCATAGATTCTAACTTAATTTCCATACACATGTCACATTGATCTTATATTGATATGACACAATTTTGGTAAAGTCATTTGAACACATACCTTACTGTCTCTACGATTTCATTGCAGTAACAAACCGGGTACGCAAATTTATTATTAAAATTGTCAACAACAGCCGCCTCACTGAATCTTAGTTTGCAGTTAAATTTCTTCTGGAACAAGAACAAAACCTTTAAAAGTTGAATTTAATTCATGTGTATATTATTTAATTCCTTTTTTTCTCTCACTAATTCAGTTACGACAGGAATAATATTTCATTACAATAAGTGCGCAATGCATATAACTACTTTTTTATCACATTTTAGAAATAGTTAATAGTTAAATAGTTAAATAATCAAATATGCATCTTATTATATCAACAGTTGCCCATGTGTTATTTTACAAAACATTGTACTGCCATTCTTGAAAGAAGTATAAGAGACCGTTTTTACTATTGCTTATTAAAGATACCACACACAACATATAATGCACTGCTGATACAGCTTCATTATTGAAACATAACTCAAAAAGAATTGACAAGTAAAATACTATCTGTTTGCTTTAAGAAGGGATACAAAATTAAATGGTGATTTTAATTATTTATTATTGTGGCGTATTGTCTATTATTATTTTTCTATAAACTTGACATTTGATATAAGTGAAAGCAAAAAAGACTACACAAATTTTCAATGTTCCAAGTACATAAAAGAGGGTCAGACCTGTACAACATTCAAATAAAAATTGTTTTCAGACAAAACTTGAACTGTAAATACAGATTTTATCTGATACTTAAGTTAACGAACACTATTTGTTTATATATTAACATATAATTATTTGTTATAGAACTGGTATGCCATTATAGAAATGATATATAAATTATTCAAACTTCTTATTTTAAAACAATCGTTTTAAAAACCAAATTCTTTGGATGATACGATGATTTAAAGTTCACTCTAACCTAAACTTACCTTTATAATACATAAATAGCCCTTGTTTACAAAATCATGTATATCAAAAACATGCATGCCCATAACAGTTATTCTTCCAGATTCTTTTCCGATTGATTGTAATTCCAAACTGAAATCTGACAGAAAATTTATATCTTGAAAATAATTTTCTACTTTAGTACATTTTTCGCCATAGTTTAAATTGACGGATATATATTTAACTAAATTCCAACTTTTAACCAATCCATGTGTAGTGTGTTGCTGTCAGTTTTGTAAGCCCTACTCCTATGTATAAAGACTGTGCATATTTCTATATAAATGACCTTATTAACGAAAAATGTTTAATGCAATCAGTTGTTAAACTTCATTTAGATAACATATTGCTTACTTTAACTCATGAGTTTTTTTAATCATATTTGCCACAACTTGATATACTTATCTTCTCCAGAGGCTAGGAAAAATATAAATCCAACAAAGGGAAATAGAAAAAAAAATAATACACTACAATTACAATTGTAAAGGTTGAAAAGGCTGTTGCTCATTACATGTACTACGTTTAAAAGAAATATGAAGTTTTATTAATCAGTTTTTCTATTCTATATCAAAATTGAACGTGGTTACACTCCGGATCATGGCTTATTCTCATGATCTTTGCATTCTGACTACCAGGTGATATAATATTAAGTCACATGATGGTAAGAGATATGGTCAGGTAAAATGCCGAGAGTTATTGGAGTGAAATGTTTCACTCATAATTGTTACAAATGTTACAGGTTGTTGCAAGTGTTACTGCATAAGCCTTTAATTTTTTTAAGAAATCGGAATAAATAAGGTTACATAGATGTTACAAGGTTGTTACAGGATTGCTAAAAATTATACGAGAGTTGAGAAAAGTGCTCATTTTTTGTGGCAGAAATTTTATTTAGAAATTTATGTTGAATATCGAAATGTACACTGAAAATCGTCAAATTGTGGAAGTCGTAAGACATGTTAAGCCTAATTGATTGATTAAAATGTATATATTATGTATAATATCATTCATGCCCCACTGTTTAGCTATTTATGTGCCACTGAACTGCTACTGCCACTAAAACTGCTACTTCTACCCCTACTGCCGTATTACTGTTTCTATTTGGCTACTGCTATGCTACTGCTACTGCTGTGCTACTGAAAATTTCACGTTTAATATTTGCTACTGTTATTGCTGTGCTTCTGCAACTACTGAGCTACTGTTGAGCTAAATCTACTGCTGTTCTACTGCTACTGTTGTGCTACTGCTACTGCTGTGCTATTGTTGCTGCCAATTTCACGTTTTTTTGCTACTGTCAATTTCACGTTTAATAACTTTGCTACTGCTACTGCCAACTACAAGTTTTTTTTTCAATTTGCTACTGCTTCTACTGTACTACTGGCTACTGCTACTGCAAATGTCACGTTTTATAAAGTTTTATAAATTTATTATTGCTACTGATTTGCAACTACCTACTGCCAATTTCACGTTTTACAATTTTGCTATAACTACTGCTGTGCTTCTGCCTTCTGCTACTGCATAGTTCACGATTTATAAATTTGCTACTGCTACTGCTTTGCCACTATCTACTGCAACTGCCAGTTTCACGTTTTATTATGTTGTTACTGCTTTTGCTGTGCTACTGCTACTGCCAATTTCACGCTTTATGATTTTGCTACTGCTGCGATATTGCTTTTGCTAAGTTTACGTTTTAAAATTGTACTACTGCTACTGCTGTGCTACTGCTACTTATCTTCTACTGCTACTGCCAACGACACTTTTTTGAAATTAACTACTGCTACCGTTGAGCTACTGTTGCTCTACTGTTGCTGCCAATTTCACGGTTTATAATTTTGCTGAGGCTACTGCTTTGCTTCTGCTACTGCTGTGCTACTGTTACTGCTGTGCTACAGCTGCGCTAAATCTACTGCTGTTCTACTGCTACTGTTGTGCTTCTGATACTGCGGTGCTACTGCTGCTGCCAAGTTTACGTTTTATTTTTTTTTTTGCTACTGCCAAATTCACGTTTTTTAATATTGCTACTTCTACTGCAAATGCCAACCACGCATTCTTTATAATTTACTACTGCTACTGTTGTGATAATGCTACTGCCGATTTCACGTTAAATAATTTTGCTACTGTTATAACTGTACTACTGCTGCGCTAAATCTACTGCTGTTGTACGGCTGCTGCCAATTTCACGTGTTTTTCGTTTGCTAAGCCAATGTCACGTTTTATAATTTTATTTTGCTACCGCCAACGCTGTGCTACTGTTATTGCCAATTTCACGTTTTAAAAATGTGTTATTACTGATGTTGTGCTATCGCCACTGCTGTGATACTGATTCTGCAACTGCAACGCTACTGCTACTGCTGTAATACTGCTACTGCTGTGCTACTGCTACTGCTACGCTACTGCTACTACCTATTTCTAGCTTCTCGTTTCTTACTGCTGCTACTGCCTACTTCCCTTGCATGCAAGACCGACCGAATTTGCCAACTGATATTTCACAGATGTCCGTCATTACAATGGCGACTGTTGTAAATATGCACATACCCTGTCTCTTTACCAAATGGGTCCCATTTTCTTAATATTTTAGAGTAGCTTTTATACATTTTTTTCAATGTATTATTATAGCAATTTAATGCCTTAATATGTTCAATGTATAATTGAAAAAATAATGTATCACTCAATAATTTTCCAAAGAGCCTCATACAAACTCGACCATGTCCATGTTTGTTTTTAGATTTATTCAGTACCTTTAGAGTTATTTCCTTTGACATAGTATTTCGACTTTTGTCTTGCGTAACTCGAAAAGTATTTGAACAAGAGTCATGAAACTTTACAGAAATGTTAGTCAGTAGGTGTAGTTGACTAGTTGTGCATCTAGGGTTTTGCTTGTTTTTATTTTCTTTAGAGCATACTTTAGGATATAAGTTGAGATTTGAAATTCTTGTAGCTTAATATAGAAAAAAATGAAGATGAAAAAAAAGAGGAAAAATTGAATGTCCCGACCATTAAGGGTAGAGGGAGTCATGTACAATTTCCTTTGTTCATCTGCCATACTATAGATACAACAGTGGACTGTGGTAAAATATATGATCTATGAAAACATTTAAATTTAGATACAAATATAAAATTTAAATATAATTGAAATTATATACATTGTAAATGTTTTGCCTTGACCAGACATAGCAGATAGGTTAACCCGCCTAGCATGTTCAGTACCTCAAGCATTTGGTAAATTTTTGTAAAACTGTTCAGCAATGATATGAAAACTTTAAAAAAGAACAAAAAAACACAACTCAAATGCTTGTGGTCCGTTTAACAAAAAATACCATATTGTATCCTGGCATTAAAATCTTGACCATGCCGCAAATATCATCCTGTGAGCATTTAAAAGCGATAAGGCCATCCTTTCTTTCTGATCAAGCCAATGGTCATTTATTCAATTTGAAACCAATTTCGAGTCTTTTTTCTTAGAAAAGGAGTAATTATATTTAGATGTGTTTTTCATTTTATAAACAAATACACATGTTTAGTAGTATTTTGTATGATATAAAGGGTGAAAAAATCAGAAAAAAAACCATATGCATTTCGAGTATTGACAACACAAAAACACACTAAGTTGAAAATAAAGGACTCAGTGCGAGTCTGTTCCTAACAGGTAATTTTAGCATCTCAATCAATGATCCTTAAAGACCACAGGAACCATATTTTGGGTGGAAACATCTGCCATTTATCTATCAGAGGCCACTCATGCCTTGAAATGATTTCGTTTTCATTTCTCAAAAGGTTTTAATTTATGGTGTCCTATTATAGTTTCAAAAAACGTTACACATTGGTCAATTACCTGAGCAATACGTACGTTTAACTTACAGAAAATGGAAGTGGTAATACTTATTTGTTTACATTTTGACAAATCATTTCACATTCTTTACGTGCTGAACACATATTATGCTTTAAAACCATCATTTAAATGTTATACAATTCATGTTCACCCTTTCTTCAGTAGGAAAAAATGTTCGTTTCTGAAACAAAATGTGCCTTTTTAATATATGTAATTACAGTAAAAAATGAGCTAATGGAGGACATGAAGTGTTTAACGCAATATTTGCCTAAAATAGAAAGCATTGAAAAATCTGTAAATATAATAAGTATCGGATATTGAAGGCAAACTAAATACAATAGAGTCCAGGGTTGATTCGATAGAGCAATTCTGTTCATTCATAAATTCTGTATCCGAGATTCAGAAAACTGAGCTTCTAGAAGCAAAAAAAAAAGAAATACCTACTCTCCAAAAATCATGCAAACTTTTGGAGTCAATGGTAAAAGAATATGAGAACAACCGAGATAAGATAGTGATAAGATAGATGACTTAGATGCTAGGTCAATGAGAGAGAACTTGTTGTTTTACGGTGTAAAGGAGGACGTGGCAGAAAACTTATCTGAAAAGGTAAAGGATTTCTGTTCGGAAAATCTCAATATGGATGCTTTACACATGAAATTCGATCATGCTTATAGAATCGGGAACAATTTGACTAAGAAACCACGACCATTAAATTCCATGATTACTCAGATCTAGAACAAATTCGTAAAGTTGGTACGAAAATTTAGAGAGAACTTGTTGTTTACGGTGTAAAGGAGGACGTGGCAGAAAACTTATCTGAAAAGGTAAAGGATTTCGGTTCGGAAAATCTCAATATGGATGCTTTACATATGAAATTCGATCATGCTCGTAGAATCGGGAACAATTTGACTAAGAAACCACGACCATTAAATTCCATGATTACTCAGATCTAGAACAAATTCGTAAAGTTGGTACGAAACGCGACTTCACCTAAAGGAACGGCAGGTAGGCGACGGCAAGCAACAACCGAAGCAAGTGCGATATGCAAGAAATGAGCTTTATCCTGTCAAAAAAAGCGGAAACAGATAAAGGAAACGAAGCAAAATTTATTGCAAGAAAGCTTTATATAAATGTTCAATTGTATGTGAGAAAAACGGCTACGGCACAAATCCATTAGTAATGTCAAGGGAAGCAACTCTTTATTCTCATTATTATTTACATGGAATGTAAATGGACTTTCAAGAAAAATTGGGTGATCCGAATTTTTTGGACATTTTGTATATTTATGACATGTTTATAGCAACAAGTTTCAAGTTTATTGTAATGTAATTTAGGCAATCGGCCCAAATACACTATATAATTACAGAAAGATACATGTACATCTGATTGTGTCACAAGTTATGAAATACAAAATAGTAGCATATTCCATAATTTTTAACATTGTACAACAAGGTAGAGAATATACATATTACCACAACCCTTAATGTAAAACATGTGGTATCAAGTTCCGAAAATGAAAAAAATATACAAAAACTAGTCCTTTTAAATAAATGCAAAAACGAAAGGAAAATCAGACTTTTGTTATGAAAAACTATACAATAGACATTCATGTAATTGTCTAGAAAAAGAAATAATTGAAACCAATCAATTCTTATCAATATTAGTCATAAGTTTGGTTACATACAATGCTAAACTTTTTAATGTAGGATGATGTTCGGTTTTCATTAAGTATGAGAAATTAACTTGTTCTAGTCTTCCCTTATACCAATTAAACAGATATTGTTGTCTTATACTATCAAACTTGGGGCAAATACAAAAGGCATGATATTCATTTTCAATAACTAAACGGTTACTATTAATAAAACAGTATGGACATATTCTATCTGATCTCTCAATACCATAATGGCGCCCAATTTTTATGTTTAACCTATGATTTGAACATCTGAAGCGCGCAAGTGATTTCCTAAAAGGAATGGCAGTTCCATAGTTAAATATTGTTCAACATTCAATAAAGATTTAAATGTAGTATATGTATCACATCTAGTAGAGGAATGGATATCGTCAGACCAATTTTGTTCCAAACAGTCAGCAATACGTTGTTTAAAAGAAAATATAAACATATTAAAATCACCCATATCTTGGCTTCTCCAAACATAACCATATCCTTATTTGTATAAAAGTTCGCGTACATGTGTAACCCAGTTTTTCTCCCTACATTATCTTGCAACTTTAACATATTGTAACAGCTTCATGGATAACGCGTCACTGGCATCTGTAAAAGTTTACACCAATATTTGATGCATTTAATGTAGTATATTGAGCATAACGAAAGACGACCACATTCACCTAAAGCCATACTATTATTTACGGAATCGTTTACACCTAAAAGTATCTACAAAATTCAATTTACACTTTTTCTATTTCGGATGAATACGAATGACCCCAAATTTCTGCTCCGTAAGTCAATATCGGAACTATCATGGACTCGAACAACTTAAATATATCTTGATGTGAGAATTGACCAAATGAAATTTGATAACGTCTGATTGCAAATATGGCTTTTCTAGCCTGTGCAGCTAGCCTAAATTTTGCGGTAGTCCAAATTAATTTTGGGGTAAAAAAAAGACCCATGTACTTATATATCGAAGTAACGTTTACTTAAGCGCCATTGAATGTCCATTTTTCAGAATGACGTAGAGGACCGCCGTTACGAAATACCATTATTTCCGTTTTACTAATATTTACCGTCATTCCGGAACGGTTACAAAATTCGGATACGGCGTTTAGCTGTAATTGGAGGTTATGTATGGTATCCGCCCCACACGCGACGTTGTCTGCAAAAAGGAGACATGAAATATCTGGTATATCACTCGTGATAAATATACCGTTACACGTTTCTCTCAAGTGAGTAAATAAGTCATTAATGTATAAGTTGAAAATACTGGGCGAATTCACGTCTCCTTGTCTCGTGCCGATGTTACACCTGATCGGACCGGAGATACGATCACATGATATATTTTCCCGCCTATTGTCATTAAACGATGTATTTGATACTTTGATGTAATTTTCTAACTTTGAATACATTGAAATTAGAACTTTAATTAAATTTCCATTTGCACCCTTACTTAAAATGTTATTAAATATATTATAATGTACTAGGGAGTCGAATGCTTTTTTAAAGTCTATATAAAGAACATAGAATCTACCTTGTGGCCTTGAAATGTACTTTTGAATCATAGCCTGAAGTGAAAACATGTTATCAACAACGGAATATTCGGATCTAAAACCAGCTTGAGCTTCATCTTTGATATCAAAATGATTTGTCCATTTATCTAACCTTTCCTTAATAATGTTCGAAAATATTTTGTAAATAACACTCATTAATGAAATCCCTCTGTAATTAGATGGGTCATTTCTATCGCCTGATTAATATAGAGGAACTATGATGCTTTGACACCATGCGTCTGGGAAATTACCTGTTGTCAGGATTTTATTGAACAATCTACACAAAATAGGAGATATACTATGACAAGTATTTTAATAGAACTCTGCACATATACCGTCTTTACCTTGACATTTTCCTGACTTTAGTTTAGAAATTGACCTTGTTATTTCTTCAACTGTAACTTCACAATTAAGAATTTGGTCTGTTATTTCATCAGTTTGTAAATCATTTATACGACTATTTAATTCAACAATGGGAATTTGATTTTCTTGAAATAGTAACTGTTCAAAATAATTTAGCCAGACGATTGCCGTTATTTCAGAAGTCATTTTATTTCGTATCGAACCAGATTTAACTAGCGACCAAAATTTCTTCGGGTTATTTCTTGAAATTATAAGCTTATTTCTATTTTCAGATAGATTCATTAGTTTCTTATTTCGACAGGTATTTTTGAAATGCCTCTTAGAAACTTTATATAATTCGTAATCACGGATATTGTTTGTTAACCTAAATTGACTTAATATAATATTTTTATGTTCTTTACTTTTTTTGGTTGATTAAACTGCTTTTTTCGTAAAGCAAACATTTGACTGTGCGTAGCAGACGAACGGTATACTTCTATCAATGACGAAATTGCATCGTTTATATCATATTCTATTTTTTGAAAAATTACATCCCTGGATTTAGCTAATTTTCTATCGAAAATATCTAAAAAAAAGTATCCTTGAACTTATCCTTCCATTTAAATTTTTCAATCAGAGTAGTATTTGATTGAGGTATATTGACAACAGGCTCGAAAATAGATTCAAACTTGAGTTGCGATAATAGGGGGAAATGGTCCGATTCATCGCGCATTTCTATGTTAAAGTATGATATGACGGAAAATAGTTCTGTTGATACAATATGATAGTCAACCACACTTAGACCATCATTTGCTACACATGTAAACTTGCCTACTTTATCATTCCCACATCTTCCATTCACAATATGTATGTTATATGTACAACATAATTCAACTAAATATTTACCAAAATTATTATATCGAGAATTATCCTTATTATTTCTATGTAAATCAAAACAATCTGATTCATAGTCAACTGTTTCATGGTACAAAAAATCAAAGTTATCAAATGGAATATAATCACGGAAATCTACTGTTCTGGCATTAAAATCGCCAGCAAGATATAAATAGCAATTAGGAAAATCATGTTTAAGATTTAACAAATGGTCATCTAATAGTGCAAAGCCAGTGTTTTCAGTATTATTACGATAAACTGTTGATCCTTCAGGGGAAATATACGTTATGCATACAATAATATCTTTCATTACTCTAAATAAGCTACCCTTCAATAGTAAAACAACACACTCCGTAAATTCATGCTTAATTCGTGATATCAGTTTTGAAGTCACGTGATTTTCCTTGACAAAAACACTTATACCCACACTATTTCTTAAAGCATTATTGTGTTTCTTTCTACATGTTCTAATACAATCAAAATGACAAAACCCAGGCAAAAACGTATCATATTCACCATTAAAGTTACCCCATGTTTCTAATAAACCAATAATGTCAAAAGCATATAAATAATGTATCAAGGAAATATCTTGTCTATGTTTATTTATACCTGCAATGTTCCATGTCAATATATTTATATATTTATAAGTAGTTACTGGATCTGTTATTTTGGCTGGACCTAAAACCTAAGGTACAGTTTGGGTTTCTTGGCCATCGTCTGTTTGTTGATAACAACAGAAACATGGTTTTCATAAAAACAACATTTGAATTTAGAAATTAAGCGCTTTAAATGCGATCATTTATATGGGAAGAAGTCACACAATGGTACAAAAGGACGATATAGTGGCGGAAGTTCAGTATATTATAAACAGTATTTAAGTTATAATATTAAGATCTAAGAGAATTTTATCTTGTGGTATTGTAGGAATCAAATTATTTAAAACGCATTGAATACAGTAGACGATATTTATATTTGTAATGTATATATTCCGCCAAATAGTTCAAAAGCAATTGATATGCAGGAAACTGATATCTTTGAAACCATAGAGTTAGGCATTAAAAATATCAAAATAATTGGAAAATGGTGATTTTAGTAGCCGAACATCAAACCAAATTGATTATTTATGTTTTGATAGGTTTATTGACGCTGATCAGTTGTCAAATTTGACCCACGTACCACCACGTGTAAGTAAAGATCACGTGACAAATGCTAACGGGACGAGATTATTAAGTTTATGTAAATCCTCAAATATGTTAATCGTTAATGGTAGGTTATAGAAGGATGCGAATATAGGAAATTATATTTCTACAACAGAAACGGTTATAGCGTCGTTGATTACTTTATCTCAAATGTCAATGATTTTGATATCATCTCAGATTTCGAAATCCTTCCACCGGACGAGTTTTTCGATCATACACCTGATTAAATAGTACTTGACATTTCAAATCAAACCTGTTTAAAACCTAACAGTGCGCACAAGAATAAACGTGTTATTTGAGACGAGACTAAAAGTCAAGTATTAACGGAACGTTTACCCGGGCAACAAAGTGCGATTCAGTTATTATGCAAAAATAAAGAGACTGACGGTATTGACAATTCAGTTAAACAAGACACGGTATTTCAGCATTTAGCAAACAATATCAACAAACATCGAGTAACAAAGAAAACGCAGTATCTAAATCACGATAGAACAAAATTGTTTAATGCAGCGTGTTACGAAGCAAGGAAAAAATTCACAAAAGCAAGAAATCAGTTTCGAAAAATAAAAATGATGTGCATTTGCAAAATATTTATTTTTATTTAAAAAGTAAATACCATAAAGTTTAATTCTGGAAAAAGAAAACATTTAAGATAAACGAGGAAAGGAATAAAGCAAATATCGCAAAATCTAGGCAAAAACAATTTTAGAAACATGTAAAAAAGGAGAATTAGCCTAAAAATACTCGGAAAGAAAATTTAAAGCCATCATTTACAGTCTTTGTTTGGGGTAGAAAATATAAGTTTAAAAAATTTAAGCATTTCCGAACAATATGATGTAGAGTTAGACGCAGAAATTTCTTGACTAGAAGTAAAGGACGCCGTATTTTCTCAAAATAATGGAAAGAGCCCCGGGATTTGCCCTCGGAAATATTAAAAAAATCATTTAATTTTATAAGCTCTTTTCTACTTAAACTATATAGCAAAATGTTTATGAATGCTGAAAAACTTGGGGTGAAGGTAGTATTATCCCAGTTTTAAAAAGTGTTAATGCGGATGATCCAAAACATTATAGAGGAATTACCTAATGTCTATCTTGCAGACAATTTACTCTCAAATACTATTAAATCGACTCACGAAATTGTCGAGAAAGTACGAAAAGATTAATACTTACCAGTTTGTAATTTTTTGATAGTCTTGTAAATTTTATCTTGAATTATAGCACGGAGGTTTTGGGATATCATGAAGCTAAAGATATTGAAATGATTCATATCAAGTTTTGTAGAAAAGTCCTTAGGGTAGAAATATCGACTATCAGGGAATGTTTATATGGGACCTTGGACGATACCCCATGTATGTACATAGAAAATTTATAATGATTAAATTCTGGATAAAAATTTTAAACCTACCAACAAATAGTGCAGTTTTCAATGTACATAATATGTTACGGTCAGATGCAGATAATCGAAAAAAGTACAATGGTTCTAACTCGACATGGTATGTTAAATAAATACTTGATAAAATAAGAATGACAAATGTATGGTTAAATTAAGCAAATATAAATGTTTCAGTCTATTAAACAGCGTATCATTATATATATAATCAAGAACAGTATACAATTAAAAATAATTAAAGTCGACTTACATCATACGAGTCCTTTAAGCATGACTTTGTTTTTGAAAATAATTTAAACTTTTTAATCGATGAATGCTTCAGAATCGAATTATTGTAGGTTTAGAACTTCATATCGAAATTGGAAGAAAAGACAACATGGATAGAGTAAATAGATAATGTAATAACTGTACCATGCATCAATTTGAAGATGAATACCACTTTTTATTAGTTTGCCCTTAATACAGACATCTAAGACATAAACACTTTAAAAGATTTTATTGCCATTGGACAAGTATTTTTTAATTTGAAAAACTTATGTCAGGGCACCAAAAAAGAACAGTAAACAAAGTTGCGAATAATCTAAGAAATTAAAGGTTGGATGATATCGTGTTACTTTTCTGACTATTCTGTATGTTTTTGCTTTTTGTTTAGCTTCATTTATAGTTTAGCATATGATTTTATATATTGTCTATATGCATCTTTGAGGTGTTTAACGCTTAATACATGTTGTTTTTGTTGTTGTTGTTTAAAACGGCTAAAAATGAAAAAAAGGAAACCTTCAGCTGACTGTTTTATGCTTTTTAACTTATTATTAGTTCCTATCGACAGTTCTCCGTTTTAACTAATGACTTATCTCTATTGTAGTAACTTGTTAAAATATTCATGAGGATCTTTGTGTGATAAGTTTTGCAGGCAAGAACATAAATAAAATAAGGATCAAATTTAGGATACTTACAATGAATGTGAATCCTTGTCAATTTTAAGACATTAAGGTACCTCAGAAAGAGGGTTTCTGACATAAAAAAAATGTTTATATCTATTGACAGTTTTATTGTATGAGCTGAAATAACTTAAATCACAAGAACCCGGTTTGGAACTGCGAAATGCTCCCCGAATAGGTATTTGACACAGGAAAGTACACCTTTTTAAGTTTCAGAGTTATGTCCCTGGACAAAGTTCAAAGTGCAATCATTTCATAATAAGGCAGGGCAGAGTAAATATTCTTTGCACTGGACTTGTAATAAATGCGATCTATTAACACACAAAGTTTCTGGTTGATACATGTTATGGTTTCCGGGGTGTGTCCCTGACAAAGTTCAAAATTTCAAAAATGAACAAAGGGAAATAACTCAAATATAAGGCCAGACAGAGTTAGGTATTTGTGTACTGCACATGATCCTATTGATATACGAGTATATATACCTACAAAGTTTCATGTTGAAATCTCTTGTAATTATAGAGAAGTGTCTCAGACAATTTTTTTCTAAAAGAGGAGATAATTCAAAAACTAAGCTAAGAAGAGTTATGGCTCTTTTGATATGCACTTTTATCCAATGAGATTTATGTACCTACAAAGTTTCATGTTGATATCTCTTATAATTTAAGAGTAATGTTCTAGACAAAGTTCAAATTGTAAAATTGAACACACGGCAATAACTCCACAATTAGGTAAGGCAGAGTTACGTTTCTTTTGACCTACACTTTTTTCAATGATATCAATCTACCTACAAAGTTTTATGTTGATATCTCTTATAGTTTTAGAGCTATTTCTTGGACAAGATTTTTCTAAAAGGGGAGATAATTCAAAAACGGGGCGAAATAGAGTTATGGTTCTTTGACACTGCACTCTGCCTCGATGTTTGAAGTTTAAATAAATTATCTCCAAGGGTTTAAAAATTATTCTCCGGCCAGGACAACGGACATACAAACAGAAGGACAGACGGACGGACGTTCTAACAGGAGAGTTGAGAGTGAAAATGTGGCTACTCTATTGTTCTCTCTATTGTTCTTTTTAGCTACACAAAAGAAAATAGCCTCAAAAAGCATTACGGAAGAAAGACATCAAAGAGAATGAACAGTTACCTATTGTCCCTCTAGCCACATAATTATTGTCCTGTGAGAGCGGACGGACAGACAGACGGACGGACGGACAAGGCGACGAATATATGCTTTCCCTTTGGAGAGCATAAACACGATATTCACTTAAATTGCTTTACCCCTATGTGAACACGACAAAACATAAGAATATATGAGATGAACATGAAACAGCCATTTTTCACAAAATGCTCATGAAGTAATGGGTTAAAGGGTAAACGCAGAGACAATGAAGTTCCATTACGACCACACTAGTCCTCATTTAATACAGGACGGCGTTCATTTTTAGAATTTAAACGTTTTCGTGTTGAATTTTCAATGCGTTTTGCAAAATCTCTCAAAGTTTTTACGTGTTGTGGCGGTAAAAGGCTTTTCTTATGTTGTATGCAGTGAAAAAGAAAATACGTTTGCTATATTATCATTTTTATAATAATGTTAAAATTTGTTACTTTATCCATTAATCAGAGGATTTATCTATTGATGAAGTAAAGCGAGGTCATATGTGAGTTTTTATTTTGATTAGATTTGGTAACGGGTTTGATGCCTTTTATGCATTTGCAACAAAATATGAAAAGCAGCAATTAAAGAATTTTTTAGGATAAGATTAACTTAATTTCTCCAGAACGAAATTTTTCTTGTTGCCAATTGTAAATAAATGTGTAGAAAGAAAATATATGACGTTTTATGACAATGCAGTGCAACAACACTTACACCGGTGCGCTTTGATCAATGAAAAACAGATACTCTTTAGATGGAGACACATATTAATTGTAGCCTGGTTCCATGCTATTTTGGTCCGGTAAGCAGTCCATTGCCATGAAATTAGACAATTGTGGGATCATTATTTGTATACAGAGATAAATAAAAATGTATTCCCATTTGAAAAAAAAAATAAAAAAGTAATTATTTGCAACAATGCAAGAAATGAAACATTGATCAAGAAGCGTTAAGCTGATGTACATGAATGTCTTTATGTACTTGTACTTTTATGCAGGATTAAAAAGTACAAAGGATACAATTTTGCCATTTCTCAGAAAACCATGCGTCTTTTTTGAAATCATTTTTGTCACGATTGATTCGCAACTGAATAAAATGCTTTACAGATTGAAAAAATATTAGACATAAGAGCAATTTACCAAAAAAATGGCCAATGACAATTGATAAACCATACAATGCGTACAAATAAAATACTAATAAACATGCAATGATATTTGGTTTTAATTTTTTCTTTTATATATTTTGAGAACAAAACATAAGTATAGTCAAAACATGACCATGAAATATGTCCTTGTCGGAAAGGTACCAGCATTTCGAAAAAAACTCAAAAAATGAATTTCAACATAAAGAACAATAGCGTGAATGATGATTAGATTTGCTTTGTTAACATTAGAATTATTGGTGATAAAACAAGAGTATATTATGTTTCTTTTAATTTTGCTGGTGCCGGTATTTTTCTTTAATTGATTCTTCTTTTCTACTTTGAGAAGTCTTTCAAATGTTTATAAACTACTGATAGATCCAAATATGGGTTAATAATCGTGTATAGCTGAAGTTTCATTTGCGATATATTTTTGACAGGGAAAGCTCCATTTAAGTTTGCATTTTTTTTAAAAAAAGTTAAGTTTGATCATAACTATAAGATATAGGTTAAAGGCATTAAAAGAATTGACATTAGGTAGAAAAGAGGAAGTTAAAATAGATAAAAACAGAATTCCTAAAGAAAGCCCAACACGGCAAAATTTAAGTTCTCACATTCCATTTTAAAAGATACTATGAAATGTATCACTTTGTTTCCAGATTTTTATACTTCACAACAGCAGGTGTCAAGTGCTGTGTGGCAGCTGTAAAAAGTTGCCCCGTACTTCACTTCAGTGTTGTTATATTTTTCTTGTCCTTCGGGATCATTGATGCCAACACTATTGAGTGTTGAGGATTGAGTACCGCTCATGCCGGTGCTAGGAGGCGTGAAGAATGCTGAACGTATTCATTAGCCCTCATGTACAGACTGAATTAAACCAACCGAGTCTGCACTTCTCCTGCAATATTGTTGTGATAAATGCTTCCTAGGAATCACCTTGTATCCAGTTTTTTACTCATGCTTTTGTCATCAATGTTCTGAGCTTTTAAAAAAAAAAAAAAAAAACAAACAAACAAAAAGAAGACAAAAAATGATTTTGAGTCAACAATGACTTGATATAAGAATTTTGCTCACCTTTCGAACCTGCCATAGAAGGATATTCATCCCTTAAATCAGCAGATGTTGGAATTTTACTATGGCAAGTTAATTCATCACTGCTGTCTGTACAGTCAGGGTAGCGATCACACGTCAGACGAAGAGGAATACATTTGTAATCACCAGAACACAGAAATGAATTTGTGCAGGACTCTTAAATTAAAAGAAAAGATGTATTTATGACATATGTTTATGAACCTTGATAACAATTATATTCATTTGTTTTTGCAAAAATCTTAGTCCATAATATTCTTTTTTCATTTCATATATAAAATGTAAATGAAGAGTTTCAATGTATTTGACTATGAAACAAAATTTAAGTGTAAGATGATGATTCCTGCTTCTTCAAAATTTAGATTTGCAACATCGATTTGTGTACCTCAACGCTGTTAGTTCGAATCATCACAACATGCACTTTGGATTCTTTCATGTTTGGAAACTTTTCAGCCGGATAACCGAATTTCGATTACCTTATAAATGTGGTTCTACTCAGGTGCCTAAATTAATGCACTTGAGAAAGTCGCCATTCGATCTATTCTGTTCTGGAACGACGAAAAAACATCGTTTTCGTCCTTTTATGGCGTCTACGGATCATATTTTTTAAACAATTCTTACCTTTTAAAATAAAAAGCCAGTGCAAATATAGTGATTAACATACTTGTGATTTGCAGGAACTATTTATTAAAATAATGTTTTTATTAATATTTTTCCACTTTCTAAACATGATGTTTAATGCTATATGTCTTCACGCAATATATTTAAAACTTTATGACTGATGACATTTGTTAATCAGTTTAATTAATGTCAAGTAAGTAAAGCCGTTCTTAATCATTCGACTTAATTTGTAAGTAATATACATTATAAAATGAATTTTCTTAATTAAATATACTATGCCCAAATTGGATATTTGACAATATTGGTAATTACTACATGGTACTTTTATGTATATGAAATGAACCTGTTTTGACTTCATACAAAGTATATATATATATATATATGTTATTTTTAGTCATGCACACCATGAGTGGACACACTATGAAAATAAAGTGGCATTAAAATGTCTGGCAGTTTTTAAGAAAGGACCACTTTATTTGTAGCAAAGAACGCAGAGTCCCATACATAGTTCATACGATCTTTTTTTTAGTAAGACATATTTACTTACATGTATCCTTAAGTTGATTTGTATAGAATTGTAATATTTTATACTTACCACAGTTTTTTTCGTCGCTTTTATCCAAACAGTCAGGTTTAGCATTACATCGTTTTTCTGATGGAATGCATTGTTTATTTTCACAACGAAATTCATTTTCATCACACTTTTGGAAATCTGAAACATGTTTGTAAAACAAATAATATGCAGTAAAAGTTAAACATGCACGAAACAAATCAATTTAATTAAATTTGAATTTGACATGTAAGTTAGTTCCACAAACAAACTTTTTTAATTTTTATAAATAACACTTTTTTCAAAATGTCATACTCGTATAGTGAATGTTGTGACTTCAATTTTAATAGTTTGGTAATTTTAAAATTAGGCTGTTAATCCGTAATTTAATCGTGGTTTCACGTAGTTACGTTTTATTGATGCCATATCGCTGTAGGATATATAAGTTTTAAATGTATCACCAAGATAACCCTTATCTGCAATTTTGTTTAGTTTTTTATGTAACTTTTCATGCTGCTTATAAAGAAAATGTATTTAAACCATAATAACAATTACCTCAACGATATGCATCATGTCCATACGAATTTCTTATATAAAACAGCCATTTGCCGTTTCCCAAGAAATTCGTTATAGGCCAGCTACACTGTATTAGATCAGCGTGCTGAAGGCACTGCAGTTGGGACGTACTTGAAGGATTAAATTTACCATTTCTTTACTATTTCGGGGGCAGATATTTCAATGAGTGAACGTTGTTGCCGGTTGATAAATATAAATTGCACAATACAGTAAATGAACAGTAGTTGATAAAATTATTCTATGACACACATGTTTAAATATAATATTTCGGTTACATGCACGTGTAGGTCCATCACAAACCGTTAATGACCCTTTTTGACAAGAGCAACAGGTGAAGAAAGAGCTTCTAGAGGAAACTGCAAGCTCGAATATTTTAACACATGACATAATAAAGGGAGACAATGCTATGAAAAATAATCAATTGTGATATGAATATATTGAATATTCTGTATCAGTATCAAGAAAACACTCAAATGGTCAATATTTTTGCATCACATTAAATGAATATGGCCATGTCATTAGAACTTATGATGGCTTTTGTTCACTGCACTTCTCATGCTTATCGCTTTCACTGTATGAAATTTCAATCAAATTCATACAATATGTTTGAACAAGTATCATGAAATAATATAAACCGAGATAATTAAAACATCAAGTAATGTAGACTTTTGGTTTTTTGACCCAGCAATTCTGCTCACTAGTCTCTACAACTGTAGTTAGCTTGAGTGAGATATCGTTGAAAAGATTTACTCCAGAAAAGCAATATTTTAAATGTTGATGTATTATAAGAGATGATAATTGTAAAATTTAGCTAGGAAAATTATGGTTCTTTGAAAATACATTTCCTTTCAATTGTATGTGTTCGCAGTGTAAAAATTTAATTAAATTTCATCAACTATTTTCCAGTATTTCTCTGGACAAGAATTTGTAACAGAGTTACCAACGTCCCCCACCTCGGGGAACTTTTATATGAAGCATAAAATTGTGCTATTTCAAAAGATTGAAGTATGGATCTAAGGACTTTCGGTCCAAAATTATGATCAATGCTAGATCTGCAATTGCAACAGTAAGTTTATTTAAAGAAATAAAATTCAACACTGAATTTAAAAATCTATCATGATGAGCTTTGACCTCTAAGTGTGACCTTGACTTTGGAGGTAGTGGTGCAGATGTATTGCATGACATATCGTATTATTATTGTAACTATTTGTACCAAGTATTTTCAAAATCCCTTGGACTATGAAGAAGTTATAGATGGGACAAAATATACCCTCTAACAGACTATGTTAATCTTTGACCTCTTAGTGTGATCTTGGAGGTTTAGACCCAAGTTTTGCGCCTGACATATTGTCTTATTATTTTGATTATTTGTGCAAAGTATTTTGAAAATCCCTTGATCTATGAAAAAGTTTTGGACTAGACACAAAATATATAAGTATGTAAATCTTTGCCCTCTACATGTGGCCTTGACCTTGGAGGTAGGGACACAGGTGTTACGCATGATATATAAACTTATCATTGTGACTATTTGTGCCAAGTATTTTCAAAATCCCTTGATCTATGAAGACGTTATGTACGGGACACAAAATATACCATATAACAGACTTTGTTAATTTTTTACCTCTAAGTGTGACCTTGACCTTGGAGGTGGGGATGCAGGTGTTGTACTTGACATATCGTCTTATTATTGTGATTATTTGTGCTAAATTATTTCAAAATCCCTTGAACTATAAAGAGGTTCCAGATCGAACACAATATATACCCTTTTACAGATTATGTTAATTTTTGACCGCGAAATGTGACCTTGACCTTAGAGGTAGGGATGCAGGTGTTGCACACGACACATCGTCTCCTTATAGTGAATATTTGTGCCAAGTATTTTTAAAAATCCTTTGATATATGAAAAAGTTATGGACCGGACACAAAATATACCCTATAACAGACTATGTTAATATGTGATCTCCAAGTGTGACCTTGACCTTGGACGTAGGTGACCGATTGTTGCGCATGACACATTTTCTCATTATTGTGAACAATTGTAGCAAGTATTTACAAAATCCCTTCAAAGATAAGAAAGTTATAGACCGAACACAACATATACCCTCAAATAGACATTGCTGATCTTGAATGAGCAAGTGCGACCTTGACCCTAGAGGTAATGGTCTCGTTATTGCGCAATACACATCTTCTTTTTATAACAAACATTTGTGCCAAGTAATCCAAAATACCTTTGATAAATGACAAAGTTATGGACCAGACACGAAATATACCCTGCAACAGACTATGTTAATCTTTGACCTCCAAGTGTGACCTTGACCTTGGAGGTAGGTGAACGGTTGTTGCTTATGACACATCTTCTTATTATTGTGAGCAATTGTGGCAAGTATTTACAAAATCCCTTCAAAGATAAAAAGGTGATGACCCGGACACGACATATACCATCAAATAGACAATGTTGACCTTGAATGAGCAAGTATGACCTTGACCCTGGAGGTAGGGGTCTGATTGTAGCGCATGACACATCGTCTTATTATAACAAACATTTGTGCCAAGTTATTTCAGATTCCTAAAATAAATGACAAAGTTATGGACCGGACACGTAAGTGTGACGGACGGACGGACAGACAGACGGACGGAGCCTATTTCTATATCCCCCTTTTTTCTTCGAAAAGGTGGGGGACAACAAGCATAATTAAGTACATGTATTATAAGGGAGATATTTAAAAACTAAGGAATGCAGTTATGGTTCTTTGACACTTTGAAAAATTCGAGTCTGTACAACTGGGTGAAGTTTAAGTGATAGTTTGGAATAAGCATTTTTAACTTAAAGGAGATATTTAAATCATGAAGCAAGGTTAAGTTATGTTTCTTAAACACTGCACTTCCTCTCAAAAGTCTCTATCACTTTATGAAATTTACATAAAATCCCTTCAATACGTATCTAGTTATATTCATATTCAGGACAAGACTGTGAAGGACGAATGACAATGTGGGTTTTTTTCTTTAATCATCTAAAATCTCAACAACACCATAAGAAACATAATTTCCTCAAAATGAGCCCTCCCTATATGAGTACGGGGACTGAGATTAAGTGTAAACCTCACCAACTTATTCTGTGTGGCCTGAAGTCTATTTTTTAGATTTTGACTCAACCCTAAATACCAGGAGGCACACGCATAATCAAAATTACATTGTATTAATGAAGAAACTAAAAGCTGTTTAGTATACCTATTGAAACATGAACTTTTTCTATATAAAAACTTAAGTTTTGCATTGGCCTTCTTAATTACCTGGTTAGCTTTAGACTCACCAGATAGACATTGATCTATGTCAGCACCTAAGTATTTAACAGATTTGGTGGATGTTATTGTAGTACCATTACATACAATATTTAGTTGATCACATGACCTAAGTCTTGGTTTAGACGCAAATAAAATAGACTCTGTCTTTCCAAGATGTAAGGAAAGTTTATAACCAGTGAGCCACTTACTCACACTGCTGAGATCATCAGTAAGCTGAGAGGTGATATACTGGATATCTTTACCTGATACTAAAATACCTGAGTCATCAGCACACAGAAGCAATTTATTACGAACCACAGCCTCCATATCATTAACATAAATCAAGAATAGGAGAGTGCCAAGGATCGAACCTTGGGGTACCCCACAAGCTACATTGGCGGTAGATGAAAGTACACCGGAGACATTGACCATTTGTGTACGGCTAGATAAGTAAGACCTAAACCAGTGAATAACATCACTAGAAAACCCCATAGCATCAAGTTTCATGAGTAAAATATTATGATCGACAGTGTCGAACGCCTTTTGTAAATCTAAAAAGACCATACCAACATAATTACCTTTATCCATTTCAAATTTAATGAAATCTGTAAGGTGTAAAAGGCAAGTTCAGTAGAATATCTATGTCTAAAACCAGACTAATGGGTATAAAGTAGGTTATTCTCTGATAAGTAACTATCTACTTGGTCATAAATAATTCTTTCAAGGACCTTGGACACTACACTTAAAATAGACACTTGTCGATAATTACCAGGTTCAGTATTTTTTAAACAATGGAACAACACGGGCAGACTTGAGATCATCTGGAACAATACCAGTAATAATGGACAAATTACGTATATGATTAAGGGGTTCAGCAATGTTGTGAACACTATCCTTATAAATTGCGCAGGTATACCATCCAAGCTTGTAGCTTTATTGGCCCCTAGTTTATTTAAGTACTTAATTACAGTTCCCTTAGTAATAACAGATAAAGAAAAACTGTTACGTACAACACCCTTTTTACTATAAAAATATAATATAAAGTTTCTTCCAAAATTATTCATACTAGTAGGAAGTTTTTCAACTTACTTTTGAGCAACAGTCGTAAAAAATTCATTAAATTTTTCAGCAACACAAAATTTATCAAAACATATACTATTATTGATGTTTAAACTCAATTTGAAGACGAAGAGTCTTTTTTGATGGTACACCTAAACCTTTTAATGCTTTCAATTACTTGTTTGAGTCAGTCATGTGGTCTTCAATATTTTGTTTGATAAAATCAATAGCTGAGGCTATCTACAGGGACAGCTTTCTGTCTTCTAAATGATATAAGTAAGCTGATGTTAAGTCATTGTTCTGGTGAAGAATATGCACAGGGGCTTTAGGGGAAAATATTAGCATTTCAGGGGTAAATATACCTTTATTGGGCTGCGTAGGTTAAACAGCCTTTATTCGGCTGTAAAAAGGGGAAAACACTAGGAGGTGAGGGAAAAATAAAAAACGACATTAATGCTTGTTTGGCTAAATGGCTCATATTGAGGGTTAAATCGTTTTTTTTCTAATCTTTCATAGAGTCCCTTTATTCATTCAAAAGAAATAAAATGATTCCGAAATATTTAAGAATGTGCCCCATTTGGTAGAGACGTTACGGCCGTGACAATACCAACAAATTGTAGGCGTATATGCCGGTTTTCCCTGTAAAGGCAGACATCTGTGTAATATCAATTTGTAAAATCTGGCGGTTTCGCAGTCCAAAAATTGAGACTAGGCTACAGTAGGGTCGAAATGTCTTGGTGACGAAAGACTCGAGATCTCCCAAATTACTTCGAAATTATTAACGAAAGTTTTAGGTTCGGGAACGAATTGACATCAATAAATATGTTTTGCTTTAAAAATTATCTTATGGGCTAAACAGGCTGACATGCTTGTCAAGTAGGCTAGGTCATAAAGTAAACCGGAAGTTTTCGGATTCATCTAATTACTGTACATTACAGTATAGGCGGCTTAAATATTCCAGAGACATAGATTATCTACATATCTGGCTATTTCTATTTCAATATTCACTTTGCAATTATAAACTTCAAAATAGTCTTTTTCAAAAATTTCTGGAATATCATACAAAAATGTGATGATAAGGTACGGATGAGTAAGTTGAACATTGCGAGCCGTCAATCGCTTATCTCCAATTATAGAATAAATATAAACCAATTATTATCTCCATTCATAGACCTTTCAAATTATATCCGCTTCATTTCTAATACCGTAATTCAAGCTAAATTGCACATGAATTTAAAAAAGATACGTTTCTTATCTCCTTTTCTATTCGCAATAAATCAAAGTTTTCAGAAATACAGAACATTATTTTTCACTCGCGGCGCTTATGCGTCGGCCATGGTCGGATGATCACTATGAATTCAACTTCCTTGAAAAATGTAGGAATACAATATAGCATATATAGTGGTGATGAAACGTAACTGCAGTGGGCGTTACCCTGTATGGTTGGAAAATTCGGGTTTGTAAGTACACTAGTTGGGTCCCAACTAAAAAGTAAAATATAGTCTTAAAGACCTGACACCAAGGAAAGAAATTTAGCAATCTAATGAATTATTAATGTTCATATTTCTTATTTGTTCTACTTACCACATGTTTCATCTGTACCGTCGGCACAGTCGGATATAAAATCGCACACTTCACTAAATTTTATACAATGTCCGCCATCACAAGAGAATTCATTGTCATCACATCCTAATAAATATTATCATAATTGCCCGATAACCAGATATTTAAAATAAGCCCTGCCTAATTCAAATGACTTTTCTTCAATAGCTTATGTTTTCGTTTTTATCAGTCTTTATGTTTCTACAATTTTATTAAATACCCTTACAGGTCTCGAATCAATATGTCATTTTATTATTTTTATTTCGTTTTCAATTACGAACAAATAAGATAGCAAATAGTTAAACACTAACTTAATTAAGTGACGTCATAATTTATTTCGAAAATGACATTATCGATTTCTATTTCATATTAAAAACATAACAAACATGCTGTCTAGGGTTTTCGTGGAGAACTTGAAAGTTTATTTATTTACTTTATTCCGCCAGATAATTATTTTATATAATTAAAGTGACATCATGCCCATCTAAAGGTGAAAGGGTGAAGATCAAAATAAGTTTTCATTTTGCCATAATTCCTTTTAATTTAATAATTTAGTTCGCATAAACAATAAATAACAAATAGATCTAAACGAAATTTCTGTAAATATCCATTAAACTTTACCTATAATGTTTAGATTATAAAAGAGTGTGGCAGTCCTTATAGGCAGATTATAGGCAGATATATAATTTTCCATTTTCCAACTGTAGGTCAAACACCATTTTAACAGTCAATCTTTTGAAATATAAAGTCAATTCAGCTCAACTTGACTATGAAAATATGAGCATAATGTCACTTTAAATAAGTGAGCAAAGAGTTTCGTTCAGAAAATAAGACGCGTGTTTGTGTAGCTTGTGTTTGATTGTCGATTTGAATTTTCTTTGATTGAAATTGAAAATATGGTGAACTTTTGAATTTAACATTTAACGGAAAAAAGTGCGGTACAGTTTGTATGGTAGTTTCGGATCACTGGCAATTCCGGAAAGTAAAGTTAACGTGAATTATTATTTTTAGTAGTAGGGATATATTTGGTTCGATGTTTAAAGGTAAGAATCGTAATTTATTTGTTTATGTTGCATTTTGCTGCATCTATTATCAAAGGACATAATCTCGAGTCGAAAGAAAAAAAAGGCTAACAATTACAAATTCTAAGTTCCAGGGGCGAAGGACTGGCCCCTAGAATTTGTAAATGGCGGCAATTTTTTTCTTTCTACTCACATTTTTGTTACATTTACAAATCGATCCAAAAATATCCCTGGTCTATCAATCACATAAACTTTTCTTCACTATTTTCTATCTATGGTGGCTGTTTATGCCATGTATTTTCACCTTTTCACCTCAAAATGCGAAAATGCAAAAACACAAAGAGACGACAAAGCTGGACTCTTGAGTTTTCGCTTTTTTGAATTTTCTAGGCAAAAAAGCGAAACTACGACAGAAGAAGAGCGAAAATACGACACACAAAATATGTCACACATTTCACCTGTCGTGTTTTCGCTTTTTCGCATTATTACATTTTCGCATTGATGCACTTTTCGCCTTGTTACATTTCTTAAAATGTGATTGGATAATTAGAAGTCAATTTTGGATGATATGTTAATCATATATGAACATGATTGCTACAAGCAGATTTACGAAAAATACAACAATGCCAAAAAAAGCAAAAACACAACAATGCGAAACAGTCAGAATACAACAATATGAAACTGCAAATATACGACAAAAATTAAGCAAATAGACGACAGGTTTTACGTCTCGTGTATTAGCGTTTCTTCTGACCGTTTTTTCTCTTTTTGAAAACCCGAAAAAGCGAAAACACGAAGAAATGAAAAGTCAACTTTGTCGTTCATTCGGGTTTTTGCATTTTCGCGTGTACAGGGCAAAGAAGCGATAACACGACATGGCGTAAATCAGCCAACATAGCAATAAAAAAAAGCTACACAAACATGCAGCTTTTTTGAACGAAATTATTCTCTCACATGTTAATAACAATCTGGTGTAACAAAGTAAACATCAGGCTAGCCTGTTTGTAATGTTTATAATATGACGTGGGCATCGACGATGTCATTTGCGAAATGAATTATGACGTCACATCATTAAGTTTGTGCTTTTATTTTCGCTTTCTTATTTGTTCGTTATTGAAAACGAAATTAAAATTATAAATACTTCTTCTTGATTTGAGACTTATCTGGGCATGTAATAAAATTGTAAAATTCAAAGGCTGATATGACTGACAATAAAAGCTATTGAAACAAGTCCGTTGAAATAGGCGAGGTTATTGTTGATGTCAGGTTGCTAACTTGATATAATAAAAATAAAGTGTATTCCTAAATTACCAAATCAGTTGCATAATTAGTTCGTATTTCAAACAAAACTGAACTGAGAAAGTGTAACTAAAAACATAAACGGCAAGTCACTGCTTAGACACTTGATTTAGCTGAATGATAATGCGCGCGCATGTGTCTGTGTGCGTGTTTTTGTGCGTGTGTATGAACTAACTAATAACAAAAACATTCCTGTACATATGAAACTGACATAGATATATGTATAAGTAGTTAACATCATGCAGAATAAATAATATATACCGGAAGTCTCCTATGTTGGCCGTTTTAAATCCTTTCTTAAATTCTAAATGTAAATAGAAAAATTAATTGAAACATGTAAATTTAATGTAAAAATACAAATATTACCGTTAAAACAAGTTACTTCGTCTGAAGCATCTAGACAATCTATGACGTTATCACATATAGCTAAGGTAGATATCCACTCTTTGCTATGTTCACAGTTGAAGTATGCCTCTGGTTTGAGTCGTTTTGGTAAATTAGATTGCATAATTGCCTTGCCAATAATTGCGAGATCATGATCTTAAATAAAACATCATTTGAAGCAGTTAACGACTCATGATGGCCCAAATATCGCTAACCTGATTTAACTTGCTCCTAACGAATTAATCCTTGTTGTCAAAAATGAATTGTTGGTACTGAAGTTGGAATGTCACTAGAAACTTCGGTAGTTATTGGTTAGGAAGGAAAGCGTTTTGGAGAAGAAGACTATCATAGAATGAACATTTTAGCTCTAGTTCCTCTGTTCTACTTATGCATTAGGCTTGAAACTATTTACACACATGTTGCACAGTGTCGCTTACGGATGGTTTACCAATTGGTTAAGGTGGAAATGATGTTTAAAGAAATTGTGACTAACCCTGGACAATGGACACACTACATTCACATGCCCTGAGCACTTTTTGCTTAATTGAGCTTTAGAGGTACAATGAATCATGTGCATTTTTCTCTACATGTTTATCAAATAATTTTAAAAGCTTTCCTAAAAAGAATTTGATTTATATAATATTGTGTGAACAATCAATTAATAGGAAAACTGTATAAATAACCTAAAAAGGAAGGTTAACAATGTTAATCATAATGATTATTACAAATATATTGTAAACGAAAAAGCTAGTGCTGATCCAATTTTGCCCAGGTTACTAGACGTGCTAATAATCGATTTTTTTTTAATTTATAAACAAACCTTTTTGCTTTTAAAATTTTCATACAATTTTTTTTAGCTGTTGTATATCACAAAAGAAAATAAAAAAAAATCCGAACATATTTTGTTTATTTTTGTGTAATATCCACTTTGTTATAACATGTTCATAAATATATTTGAAGTCTAGCTCCATTGTAAAAAGTGGTACACAATAAAATTGGTGACAAAAGTTGTGGGTATTATGGTGGCTGATTTGTGCCCTTACTCGACCCGCGACCCAGCCATGTGAAAAGTCAGGAATTAACAAGTTAAAATGGCGGGGCGCATGCAAAAGCACACTTATGAGCGTGAATGTGGGGCGAAGTTAGATCAATAAAACTTCGACCCGCGACCACACAATGATAAAACTAGAGAATTCACCAGTTGAAATGGCAAGGACAGGGCTTCTTAATTGATAAAGTTAAATATATAAAACTTCATCGCGCGGGTATGCGAGGAGCAAAATAAAAACAATGAAATATGGGGGCATGGAGCAAAAACACGCTTATAAGTGGCGGCGCGGCGCGAAATTTCTTACTGTTCAAAAGTAAGTTGCACACTTTTCATATGTACAACATAGAAACTTTACTTATAAACAACAGTATCATATTTTAGATAATGAAAAAACGTTGTGCAAACCTTTAACTCTGTTCTGACATGACAATTCATCCGTAAAGTCTATGCAGTCAAAGGTCCTATCACACCAATTTATTTTAGGTATTGAAGATCCATCGGAGCATTTTGCCTCTGATACCCTCTTTTCGGGCATAGATAGGTTACCTTCGACTGAAGGGTAAATGAAAAATATAATATATCTAAACATGTTTTATTCATTTCAATCGTTATGGAAAGTAATACGAATTTTAACAGGGCTGGTAATGTTTTTCAACATTTTTTATAATACATCAATACAAAACTCGTATTCTGTAGTGTCTAAGTTGACACATCCATTTTCTTGACACGTGTTTCAATTTCCTTTCAATTTACATTTCGTTAACGCTTATTAATATGACCTGAAAATTACGGTAAATCAAATAATTCGTTACATAAGAAAAGAAAGTAAAATGGTATGGCGTCATGGGTACAAAACAGAACAATATCGACTTTGATATGAAAAAAGTATCTTCAAGGTAAAATAAATCTAATTTTATTATAATTTCTTTTGTCAGACTAATATTTAAAAAAAAACAACTATATATCCTGTGATTTTTTGTGGCATTTTCACAAAAAAATCTTACAAATTATCTTAAGTGAATAATATTACGATAATCGAATGTGAAATCTTTAGTCATTTTCACAAAGCCCCGCGCTAGTTAAATTTTATCTAAAGATAAATAATTCACTTACGATAAATCTTACACGTCATTTGATATTGACGTGCATGCTCTATATTTGTTTACGGTTAAGAATCAAGTAATAAATAGCTTGGAATATGTATTAAACACAATCAAGTTACAATAAGAAGAAACAAATTATTCAAACTGATATATTTTCCAATCTGATTGAAAATAATTGTAATGATCTAAGTGATTCAGATCTTTCCGGCAAAGTTTGGTTGAAATCCCACCAGTAGTTTGACCTGTTAATGCTGGACAAGATTTTTCTATTTTTATCTCTGATTCTGTTACGTTATTGCTGAGGTATTAAGACATATAAAAGTGCCACTGGTACATGTTTGCAATGAAATCGAACCCACCAAATTGTACAAAACATTAGTTATCAAGAATAACTCTGTAGAGTTCACATATAAACTATTCATAACCTCTCCACCATGACGTCTTCAAGTCATGACGTCAGAATTGTTATGTTGAAAAATGTTGAAAATAATTTTAACTTAATTTGTGTTTTTTTAACATACGGTTTGCTTATTTATATATATATTTGTCCATGTTTGTTTGTTTTTATTCAGTTTAAATAAAAGATACCTGATATTTTACTCTTAAGAGGAAAAATATCACACTTACGAAGGGGAACACCAAATGTAAAGTTACGATAGATTTAACATTTACGTTTTGCTTAAGATTTATTTAGTGAAAAGGAGATTAATCGTTAAATTTCTCATACGATAAAATTTTTGTGAACATGTCTGCTGGATTTTTTCTATTTTTAGCTCTGGCAGCCATTTTGTGCAGCGAAGCAGAATATTCCCCGACGACATGCACAACAGACATG